GAGTGAAATACCACTTGTGACTATGGAAAGCAGACACTAATTTACACCAATAGAAGATCAGTAATTCTAAGATGGTGAGAAACTGGAAGTTGTCTAGGTGAGTATGTGTCTGGAAATAATGTCACATTCTGTGAGAAAAGGGAGTATGTGGTTAAAGCAAAGTGGCTAACAGTAAATACCACCAGGGAAGGGAGAATTTACTCAGGAGCAAAGTTTGTGAGTCTATGCAGGCTATGAAAGGAGGATGGAATCACAGGCTCACTGGATGACTTCTGACTCGGGTCATCTATCTGCTGCATGTTGCGTCTTCTCCAAAATCCTAACCAATGCCCAATCAGCTTAGGATGGTATGTAAGAGTGAACAAATGAGAGAGAGAATGATCTTTAAAACTGTTTAAATAAACCCATTTTTATTACTTACATTTTTTTTTATCTGTAGTTTCATACTGACTTTGGTCCCTGAATGCAGCCACCCCTCTATCGCAAAGTAAAAAGCAAGGGCACTCAGGTTAGATTCCACAAATTCTGTAACATTGGCTTGAGTTATTTCATGTTCAGGAGGAAGGGGGGAGTATCTTGTACCCTCATCTCCTCCTCCCAAAATTGGATTACCTAACCCTCTGAGACATGCTGTGATCCTTTTAGTGAGGTTTTGTTGTTGTTTCTTTGTTTTTGCAGATAAATTCTCTGGGTTACAATGGATGTCACTGTTGAACAGGACATGGACAGGCTGGTCAAAATGGTACATTCCATCACCTGTCCTTTGGGTCCTTGCCCAAATTCACTATAAATTCTAGCCAGGCAGTTATTGGAGAAGCTTGAGTTAATATATCATAAATTTCTCTCTGAGAGAACAGGATACCTCCTTGATTAAAGGGCAAAGTATTAGACTACCTCTAAGAAACCCACACTAGATCCCTTAGAGATGGACAATTATAGGCTAGTCTCTAAATATCCATGGCTAGCTCGGGTTACTGAGAGAGTGATGACTTCTAAACATCAGACAACCCTGGAGGAAGCAGAATATCTTGATAATTTCAAACTGGTTTCAGAAGGGACTGAATTACGAGGGGTCACAATTCCAGAGAGCAGGTAGATCACCATGTCCTGAATGGGGTCATCCAGAAAGAACAGAAATATGTAGCTCTGGGGTACTTCCAGATAGTTCTCTGATTGCCCAGACTGAAGCAATAACCAAGACACCTTTTATTAGATTCAGTCAACATACAACAATGTCCCTCTCTAGAAAAAAATGATATGAAAAACTATATGACACGTGCTGGTAACCTCCATAGTTGACTAGTGCAGTATGTTCTGCACATAGCCACTTTGGTACTTGATCTGAAATTTCAAATGGAACAGAGGTCAGAAGTTCTTTCAAATGTACTCAGCTAGGTTGAAGGGCTTAATCTTTGCTGGCTTCTTATAAGCTCCTAACACTTAACCTTTTCAAACAGATTTTTATTTGTTTTTAGTATCTTCAGATTTAATTGTAGTTTTATATTTGACTGAAAAATGCTGAAAGAACTTGGCAGTATATGTAGTTTAGTAAATAATAATAAAATAATCTGGCTCTGTCACATTATTGAATGTTGTATTTTTATTCATATTAATTATTAACATTGGACTTCACAATAGGATTCTTTCTTCCCTGCAGTCCAAATGCATTCTTAAATCTGTTCTAGAGTTGATAGACTTCCTGAAGTAGGAAAGGCAGACAGGAAACTACGGGGGTGGGGATTTCCCACCTCCAGATACCAGTGAGGAAATTTATACTGGAATTTTACTGGAAACATCCCATATGACTTTAAGCTACAGGATCTTTATAATTCTAATTACACTATTTAATTGCAAGTAACTGTATATAAACCTTCAGTTTAATGGTTTTCTATTTAGGGGACTTCAGTACAACACCCTGAAATAATGGACTTGCCCATTATGTGGGGAAGCAATCTGGACAGTGGTTGCTGCTTCCCCTAAATAATGGGTTCCTTCTTTGCATGAATCAGGTTTGAGTCCCAGGTGAGAGAAGAAAGGTGGAAGGGAAGACTGGGCGATTGGGCAAGTAGTGGTTGATACGCTGGGACACTGAGAGCAACTGAGTTGAGGAAGGAAGGCTGGAAAGGTGTTGGGGAGACTGGAGAGATGGGCATGTAATGAGCCAGAGCAGTGGCTAAGTGGGGAGGGAGGGAAGCTACTGGGAAGATTGACCAGGTGGACAAGATAGGCAGTGGAAGTGGCAGTTCCCTGCCTTCTGCCTTAACAAATGTTCCTTGCTGACAGAGCAATTAGAAGGAAAAAAAAGAGCCTGCCAATAATCCTGAAGGCTGGTGCCAAGAATGACTTCCTTTACAAGTGCTGTTTTATAAGTGCTTTCTTTCCTTAAAACTAAAAAAAAACTTTTTTCTTGGTAGTCACTTCAAGGAAGGGAAAGGGAAAAAATGGGAGGGGATTAGAACTGAACAGACCTTTAACAGACAACCTTTACCCCCAACAATGTTAAATCAAGAGTTTACTATATAAATGATTGATCAAAGTTTTTACATTGCCAACAATTTATTAGATTTTTATCCTGCTTTTCATTCAGAAGCTGACAACCATTCAGGGTACATGACTGTGGGTAGACTAGAACCTGGGTCTTTCTGTTCCTAGTCCAACATCTTTACCACTACAGCAAAGTTAAAGGTTACATCTCCTTTGAGTCAAGCTCAACTCCTGATGACTACATGGACACAACCATCCAGTTTCCTTGGCAACAGTAGGAAGTGGTTTGTCCTTCCCTTCTTCCAAGATGTTTTTCAACTTCCAGTCTAGCTTATAGCACTGCACTGGTATTCCTGCTCAGATACTAAGTAGCTCCAGCCCTATTTAGCGTCCCAGCTTAGACAAGATCAACCAGCAGCTGCTAAGAAAAGTGTGTGGATATGTCACTGAAGTCAATAGGAGTTTAGTTCAACTGAAAGATGTTAAAGCAAAAGCACATTAAAACTATTATGACTACAGATTCCATACAAGGTTCTTTTTAAATGGTTAATCTCTCTGAGAAATATTCAAAATGGAAGAATAGTCTAAAAATGAAGATAAATGCTTATGATATCACTAGAATACTAACCTGTTGAATTATTTTGGAGTCTTTCTGCAGGTTCTCTTTTGGTGGAACTTTCCCAAACAACTTCCAGCCAGGAGCACTATGGATACCAGACTTGAGTTCCTTTGTTCTTTTGGTAAAGAAGTTCCTGTAAAAAAAAAATCTAAATGTAGATGTTTTCACCACATTAGCAGAATGAAATAAAAAGCTGTCTCGTCTAATATTTAAAAGTGAGCATTATATATTACTAATTTTACAGCAATTTGAAAATCTTTTATTTATTCCTGCTAGAATGGAATGAAATAAACTTGTTTTCCCAGTATCAATATTTAGAAGAGCTTTTCTTAAAAATAAGGATTAAATTAATGCAGAGGAATCACTGACATCAAAAATAAGCCTTTCAGTTGCTACAAAGTACAAACATAACTGAAATCAAGTAAAGAAAACATTGATATCCCAATGCAAAATCCTTTCCCTTGATATTTTATTTTTTGTAACATAAATTCCTAAATTATTCACAATTCATAATATAAAATACAACATATAGTTGTAACAGTAAACAAGATAAACATCAGAGTTTAGAGGAGTCTTGTTTACTGTTATAATTACATTGTTGTATAACAATAAATTATATACTTCTGATCTAGAGGTCCATTCTCCCTGTTGAACACAGCATTATTAAATAATAGTTTTTCTTCAAATCAAATCTTTATTACAGTCATAGGCCAACATAAGGAGGATGGGATACAGTCAATTATAAAGCATAGAAGATACATCGGAGTTTATAAAAAGTTTTGAAAAGCTAAAAGATATAAAATAGAAAGTATATATAGAAAATGAGAGTCTAAAAGAAAAGGATCTAAAAAGTGGGGTAGGAGCATTAGATGGGTGTGAAGGAACATAAAGCCAGACAGTATGGCAGACTATATCAAATTACAAAGCACTCTAGTATGATGAACTAGATGCTCATTAAGTCTAGTTTATGGCACAGGTCATCTTCTGACAAATTTTAATCACTGCTGTGCAGAACCTGGCAACATTGTATGTTGTAGCAGGGTTGGTATCTGAAAGCAGCAGAAAGGTGTAGAATTGTCCTGTGCGTCCTGGGTATTTATGCAGTAATGGTGAGATGAGGCTAGTATGAATGTCTCTGTAATACAGGCACTGGAGAAGCACCTGCTCTGTTGTTTCTGTGTGTCCAGAGTCACAGGGTCACTGCCTCTCTGGGTAAGGGATCATTCTTATTGGCCTTCAGGGACAGCTGAGGGGAAGACATGATATCATGCCAGAGTAAAGGTTCTGCAGTATTTATGTCATGGGGAGGCAGAGTACCTGTTGGATTCACTAGCAATAAAGGTTGGGGACCTGGCTAGATCCAATTGGTGCTCTGTGTCTGCTACACACTGTTTAAGAGTGCTTTGACCTGATCATATCCCATGCTAAGTAGAAGGCCTGGAGAAAAGCCCAAGGATGAGATTTTAGTTGCTACTGCCTGTTTCCGTGTGGACTGAAAATCATCCCTCGTGGTTAATGGGACAAGGCCAAGGGGAAAAAAGGACAGTCTGAGCCAATAGTGAAGTATGATCATCTACACTCTAGCCTCCACTTCCATGAGGCCTATCTCTAGTCTCAGGGTGGCATCAGAGACACATTTTGGGACTTGAATGGCCAATCTTAGAAATTGGATTGTATAAGTTCTAATGTGCAAAATTGGAGAAGGGGCCCAGCTGGGCACCATAAAGAAGTTGTGCTATTGGCTTGGCTTCAAATAATTTGAGTGCTGCAGGAATATAGTGGTCACCTTGTCTAAAGGAATTCAAGGATGGCAGATGAGCTCCTCTGTGCATTTTCAGCAATGTAGTCCCCATGGGCTTTCCTACTGCTGGCAGAATTAAGGAGTACCCCCAGGTATTTGAAGCAGGAGACCTGCTCAATCTTGTGGCCATCTATGCTCCAGGAGTGGCTCCTGGGCCTTTTGGCAAATGCCATGATTTTAGTTTTCCGATAACCGAGTTCTAGCTGGTCTTCCTTGCAGTACTGTGTTAGTGCTCTCAGTGCTCTTTTAAAGCCAGTAAGTGTTCTTAGGGGTATTGCAGCAGCATCTACATAGAGTAGGACAGAGATGTGTCTTCCAGAAAGTTTTGGGAAGTGAAAGTTCAATGTTCTGGAGATGGCCCACCATGGAGCTGATATAGAAATTGAATAAAAGCGGGACCAACATGCAGCCTTGCTTGACGTCTTTCTCAGTTTTAATGGCACTGGCGGAATGGCCCTGAGGGGTACATCTTACTTGGAGTGAGGTCCCTTCATGTAGCATACATATTAGATGAAGGAGATGTTGATCAACCAAGGAGGCCTCCAGATTTCCCCACAATTTAGCTTGGGATATGGAATCAAAAGCTGTTTTGAAGTCTGTGAAAACGGCATAGAGGGAGGTTGTGTTGTAGGAGGAGTATTTTTCAATGAGATGTTGGAGTATTAGGCACTGATCAATGGTGGACTGGTCTTCCCTAAAGCCAGCTTGCTCCTCTTCAAGTATGTTTTCTTGTTCCAGCCAGTCCTGGAATTTCCACTGCAGGTGTCTTGCATAGAGTCAAGAAAAAGTTTCTCTCTGACTTGTCCGTGAAGATTGCTGCTGTATAAGCAACACTATACTATGGACTTGCAGACAACTAGTCCAGTGTCAGCTAAACTTTTCAGCAGTTGTTTGGAGTAACCAGGGGGTCTGTTTTACAGATCTAACCAGTTTGGAGGAAGTTGTAACAGATCTTTCTTGACCTTCAGACTGATGTCCCAGTCAGTGAATAAGCTGAAGCTGAACACAAGCTGGACATTTCAGCAAGGCAACAATCTAAAACATACTTAAAAAGCAGCTGTGAAATAGTTCCAGGACAAAAAAAGACAAAAATTGTGGAATGGCCTTCACATTCCCCAGACTTGAATAGTATTGAAAATCTGTGGGGAGATTTCAAACGTAGCGCATTCAAGGAAACCTAAGAATATTTCTGAGTTAAAAGAGTTCTGCAAGGAAGACTGAAAAGAAAGAATTCAAATCCAAAATAAAAATAAAAAGACTCCTAGTGGACTAGAGGAAACATTTGAAAGCTGTTGTTTCTGCCAGTGGAGATATTATGAAGTAATGACTGAAAGAGTATCTAAATTTCTACACCTGCCAATTCAGTTTCTTATTTTGAATAAGTAAACACATGCACATAAAGAGCAAATATGCATTTATATTACAGAAAGATGGTGTGCTTCTATTATAGGGAGATTGTGCTAGTTTCTGTTCACTTAAGGATTCACTGAAACCTACCATTTGAGCAGGGATACCTGCACTTTCACATATCACTGTAACCACCCCCAGCTTTTTGCTCCTGTGCTGAAAAAGATGGAGTAGATTTCTAAAGAAAAGGGAGGAAGTGCTATATGGTGGACTTACAGTTCTACTTTGTCCTTTACACATCATAGAACTATTATGTATTTGCAATTTAGACTCTTTTCCCAAGCTCTAACTCAGTTCCTACTGTGGTAGTAAGACTGTGTTCAAACAGATTGCAAGGATCATGTCATATTAATGTACAGGGAGTCCCTGAGTTAAGAACACCTGATAGAGGCGAATATGATAAGAAGAAGAAGACCTGGTTTAAGGACGCAGAGTTAAGAATGGAGCCTACTGTAGCAAAATTCAAGTTAAATACACAATGATTTGAGTTAAATACACAATATTATTATACAGCATTATACAGTAATACTATTCCAGCTTACATACAAAGTCAATTTAAGGACAGACCTTGGGAATGGAACTAGTTCTTAAACTGGGGGTTACCTGTATACATTCCCTGGGTTCCATCTGCATAGGGAAGGGAGAAAAGGCTGTTGCCTAGACTTTTTTTTTTCTGACGCCTTATTTTCAGTGTAGAGAGCTGTTTTGTTTGGAGGAACATACAGTCATTCATGCAGCATCTCTGCCTTCAGCCTTATGCATTAACATCTTAATGACAACTAAATTCTTACAGTAACATGACATCCATGGGAACCTAGGATTGCCACGCTTATGTTGCATCCAGCAACCTTGGAGATAGCCAGATGAATAATCAGAGGAGAAGGTTGTAACAGAAGTGTGTATAATACTCACCTATTGGCAATAAACTAGTATGGTTCCTTCCAAGAAGGTGACAGCTCTCCAAGAAAGATGGATTATAGTCAAACAAATCTGAGCCTGTGTGTGTGTGTGTGTGTGTGTGTGTGTTTCTGCTACAAAAGTGGTTACAAGTGAAACTGTATAAATAGTGACCCTATATGGGAGGAATCCTCTTAAGAATATCATCAAAACAAAGTCCTCCTCTAGCACAAGGTGACAAAAGCTTCAAGTCCTCTTTCATATGAATACAGCTTCATGATTCTGATGGCCACTTTCAAAATGTACTTAGTAAGAGATTAGTCATTCAGTTCTTCCTACTCTACCCTAAGTTTGTGAGAACACAGGCTACAGGAACCATTATGATTAAACATAGCAAAGACATAACAATACTGTGTATTGTGCTGATGTTTGTTTTCTGACAAACATACTGTTTGCTGAATGACATAATTCTGTTTTAAAAGCAAAATTAGAAATCTACCTACTTGGCCATTCTTATTTATTTTTAATTCCTAGCAAGTTTGACATAATTATTATATGCAACAGAACAGGGAAACAAATGCTTAACCCCCATAAATTTTATTTTAATAAATGTGTTTCTTGCATGCCCTCTTTGTTGTTGTTCAGTCGTTAAGTCGTGTCCGACTCTTCGTGACCCCATGAACC